GTCATTTTTTAAAAAAAATTTTAATTTTTTTTTTAGAGAGAGAGAGAGAGAGAGAGAGAGAGAGAGAGAGAATCTTTTTTTTTTGTAGATGAACACAACACAATGCCTTTATTTTTATGTGGTGCTGAGAATTGAACCTGGGTCCCGCCCATGCTAAGTGAGCGCTCTACCGCTGAGCCACAATCCCAGCCCTCCATAGTCATTTTGATGTTGTGATCATTCTTTTTTCTTGCATTTGAATTCATGAGCAAGAAATTGAAATTTTGTGGCCCAGATGTAATTGATCCCATTCCTTGCCAGAATCAACATATTGTATCATTGTGTCCTTGATGGGTGAGGCCACCAAACATATTACCTAGCACTATCAGAAGACCTGCACAGTTCTGGGTTAGTGGTCACTGCTTGACTCTTTATGTCATGAGAGTGAAGTATGTGATAATTGTAGTTTCTTTCAAATTTGGAATTCAGCATTTTGATGAATCAGGAAGCAGGAGTAGAGTAGCCCCCCAAAATTGCTGATGAATTTTTCTGGAAGTTATGCTAGCATTATGTTGAGGGGCATATATGATACTAATGAATATGTCCCTTGGTAATCTACCCCATCCTTGCCAGAAGCATAAAGAGTGTCATCTGTGGGAGACAGAACTTTTAACCCTGTGTCTTAGTGCATTCAAGCTGCAATAACAAAAAACTATAAACTTGGTAACTTACAAACAGCAGAAATTTCTCATTGTTCCTGAGGCTAAGAAGCCCAAGTTCAAAGAATAAGATTTATTACTATAGGGTGAGGGCTCACTTCCTGGTTCATAGATAGTGCCTTTCATTATGTTTTCTTTCCTCTCTCAATCATTGTGTTTTCCCATGGTGGAAAGGACAAATAAATTCTCCTTGACATATTTATAAAGGCACAATTCCATTCACGAGAGAGAGCTAATTACCTCCCCAAGGGTCCCACCTCCCAGTATCATCATCCTGGGGGTTAAGATTTCAACATATGAGTTTTGGGGGGATATAAACATTCAAACATTGCACTTTTTCTCTAACTTTTATTCTGACCCTTCACTTATATGGGAAATGGAAGTGCAAGAAAACTGAAAGCGTTGGGGAATTTTGATCAACATCCTTCCTATCAATGGTTCTCAGAGGTTGAGCCAACTTTGTAATGGGCATTTTGGGGTGTGCACACATTCCAGGAACTACTGGAAATTGCATCTTGAAGGGGCTAAGTTAAACTTAAAATACACTGAAGCTAGGTTACAAAATTCAAATAGGGCCAGATAACTAGAGGTGATTGAATTCTGAAAGGAGACAGGGTAGAGAATTGAGGAGAACCAATATGGACGTGAAGGGTAGAAAAGGAAATTTCTAGGAAAGATGGGAAATTTAAAGGAAAAAATTTGAACCAAATCCCACATGTTTGTGGAGGCATTTTATTTGGTGCCCATGGCTGTGGATACAGGTATGCTGAAATATAATAAAGAAGCCAAAGCAAAATGAATCAGCTCCAGTTTCAGTAATTCTACATTCTTATTATCTTGCAAACTCCATCTCTTTCCCATGCAGTGGGTTCCTAACTGGGGAGCTTCTGCCTCTTGAACATTTCTCAATCAATTTCTCTAGTGATCACAGCAATCTATCTAAAACATAAATTTGAAGCACTTTTACTAAAGTGCTTCATTCTTCACCATTTCCTACTGGATTAAATACAAATGTCTGAGGCAGCATACAAACCCATTTACTTATGATTTTGCCCCTGCTTATTTTTCCTATTCACCATTTCTTTTCCCTTTCTAGCTTTGATGACTTACTGGTATTTCCTGTAATATGCCATTTTTATACATTCCTTCATGACTCAGTTCCTCTGGACACTGTCTGGAATGTTCTACTCTTGTCTGTTAGGCAGACTCTCCTAGTTTCTTAAGACTTTCTGCCTCTGTGAAGTATTTACTGACCTACCAAGCCAAAGTTGAACACCCCTTCCTCAGGACTTCCTTTGTCTCTGGTACATAGCTCTATTTTTAGCACCGATTGCAGCTCATTGTAATTTGAAAACTAAGTGTATCTAGAGAGTATGGACTATGTGTAATTACCTACTATGCCTTTAGGGCCTGGCACAGCTCCTCACACATAGTAGGGTCTGAAATTATCTTTGAATATTAAAATGCTCTGAATAAATGAAATATTTTTGCTAAAAAGCAGGAGGAAATAAATTTAAAAAAATCAGGAGGAACTTGTCAACCAGTTAATGTTGTTGATAATCTCTTGGGTCCTATTTTTAAAAAATATTTAGTTTTTATTTGTAGTTGGACACAATATCTTTATTTATTTTTATGTGGTACTGGGGATCGAACCCAGGGCCTTGCCTGTGCTAGGCGAGCACTCTACCACTGAGCCACAACCCAAGCCCTGGGTCCAATATTTGATATCTAAAGTATCTGATATTAATTCATTCATTGATATAACAAGAATTTATTGAGTATCTACTCTAACCCAGGCATATATTAATGTAATGATCAACAAAAATAGATATATGCTTTATTGCTCTCATGCTGGGCACTGTGGTACATTCTTGTAATGCCAGTTACTTAGGAGGCTGAGACAGGAGGATTGTGAATTTGAGCTTATTCTGCACAACACAGTGAAATGTTGTCTCAAAAAAAAGTTGAGAAAACTGTTACAACATTTTTATGAATTATTAAATAAAACAGAGCATATTTTAGTTTCAATCCATGATGTCAGTCTGAGATTGTCTGTAACATACACCTTTCTGAAATATAAGATTAAAGCCTTTGACTATTGAACTGCTTTTGTAACAAGAACTTAGACTTCACTTTTGCCTGAATCTATGCCTCTATTTTGCATCTGTCTCCTTTGTTGAGTCACCTTGGATTCAAGGAACAACAGGTCTGATCAACAGGTCTCATCTTATGATGAGTTGAAACTATCCCCAAGCTAATAGCACCTTTTTTTTTTAATCCCTGACAAGGCTGTGTCTGACAAATCCCAAGATAATGATGGGTCAGATCATACTTGATCAAGATCGCCTGCTTTGGCAGCGGGGCAAATCCTCCAGCTATGCAATCCCCAACCTCTGCCCTTGTTTCCCTCTCTATAAAATCTCAAAGTCATTTTCTGTCCCTCAAAGACAGAGCTGAGCATATGGATCTCCTTGTCTTCCTGGTGTAGCTACACTGATTAAAAGTTCTATTTCATTCATTTCACTGTTAACCTTTCTGTTTGGTTTTTGGGGTAGTGACTGGACCTGATTTGTTGACATTCCAGTCAGGCCTCTGGCTTAGGACTCAGGTAACAGTTTTAACTTTTTACTTGCAGTAAGTTTGCCTCTTATTCTCTAGCACATGAAAACATAACAAAATTTTAAAACACAGCATGTAAAATAATTATGCATCTTGTTTTAATTCTAGCAAAAATCTGTTTTCAGAGATCTGTTGGTTGGGACACATCAGTGACTTTTCAGTTTACCAAATGCTTTTGCATTTATAACAGTATTTGTTTTCATTGTAGAAAAACCAAAGGAACATAGGGGGAACATTCAATAATCAACAAAACCGGATCACCTTCTTAAGCTAGAGAGATTACCTTTAAGCAATTAGAGGCTATTGAAATGTAACCAAGAAAAGAAAAGTTCTAGGCACTCTGCTAGAGTCAATAAGTCACAAATTTTAGGTAGTATGATTAAAGAAAGTAAAGAAGTTGCCAGGAATTGGCATTTTGAAAATGGAAAAGAAAAAAATACAAACCTAAAAAAATTAATAGCTTTGTGAAAATCAGATATCAGAAAATTTGAACCAACTGAAACAAGGTTCCCACTGACTTGACAACTCTAGGAGGATTGGGTTCTACTTCCTTCTCGGTTAGGGTTAGCTAAAGACAAGGGCAGACTTGTAGTCCAATAGAGTAAGATATATATAATATCCTATATATATATTATACAATCAGTTAGATCCATTCACAGGCATAACAGCCAGTATTACAGGGGACAGGCATTCTTTTAAAAATATTGCTTAAGACAGGGGCTTATCTTTCTTAAATTTGGCTATACTATTTCCCTCCAACCTCTCAACTAGAAGGAATTGCTGCAGAACAGACATACAATTCTCTCCTTTTACGTGACATGCTCCTATGGTAGAGACACGTTACCAATGTTATGCTTTAAAACTTTCACTTTAATATAAAAAGAGATTAAAGAGCACAAGTCAAAGTAAACTTGCAAATTTAGTTTGGTCTAAAATAGTAATCTCCTAAATTAAAGCCAAGTTACTTTGCTGAATCGGGAGCTTTGAAAAAAAATTAAATTTTATAAAACTTACAGTATTAGTGTTAACAATTACTCCACTAACTACTAATTTTTTCTCCTTTCTGGGGGTCTCAGAGAAAATGGAGTTTTCTTTATCATTTAAAAAAAATAAAAGTTGTAGGGCTAGGGATGTAGTTCAGAGGCAAAGCATTTGCACAGCATGCATAATGCCTGGATTTGATCCCCAGCATTGCAAAAAGTAAAATAAAAATTGTAGGCCAGGTGGAGTTTCAAGTTGACTTGAAAGAAAGGAGATAGGAGGAGAAAAAGCACAAATTATTTAATAACTTTTCCCTATACCTACTTCCTAAACAGAAATCTACTTTGGTCTTCTAATAAGACTAGTTTTCCAAGAGACTTTAGGCTTTGGCCAAAGACCCCTCTTGGCATCATTGTGCTATCCATTAAACCCAACCCCAGAAAAGCTAGTATAGAGATATATTTCATCTATAAATTTTAGTGTAAAATAACTAGGTACAAAACTTTGGGTTCTCTATCTAACAGCAGCAAATATCTATGTACAAATGGGCACTTCTTTTCTTAAAACCGGACTCTGTCCATTTCCTGAATTAACTTTACCAGTGTGGTTGGGTTTCTTGTATTTGCTGGGCAGATTTGCAAATGTGATGAGGGAAGGGGGTCCTTGCGTTGGTTTGCTGGCCAGGCAAGGTTAATAAAGGGCTCATTCTGGCTCCACAAAAGGGAGCAGGTGATCTCCAGGCCCTGGTACATTATCATCCTCATTCTCTGGAACCGGGAGCGGATCATCCCCACTCCCTGCTGCAGAAGGAAAGCAGTCACTGCCAAGCTCTCTGCCACCTGCGACTCTGGACTTGATTGTTCCCATTAGACCTTCAAAAGATCTGAAAGTGGCCAACTTCTTCATGTCCCCAAGTTTCCTGCAGATGACAGAGCTCACGGTGGACAGGGCAGCTGATGTCTTTTGTTTCATGTATGCGTTGGAGATCTGAACATCGTGCCAACTCTTGGACAGATTCTGCCTCAGACCCACCAAGGCCGTGAGGCCCAACTTCCTCTTGAGCTCTCCACAGCGCCTCTCTTTGGCTGCCAACACTTGGCGAAGAGTGAAGATTTCCGCCTCTAATTTAATGAGCTCTGATTTGAGCTCCATTTGCTCGGCCTCGGTTAGATCTTCGGGTTCAGAAGTTGGGCGGAGTTCATATGTGCCCACAGAGGTCTGTGCCGTGACATCTGGCGTGGCGAGGGAAAGATCTTCATTCAGGGAGTCCAGGTCCAATTCTTGGTAGAGACAGTCCGATTCTTGGCCCACGGAGAAATAAGTTTGGCGGACAGGGTCAAGTTCTTGGCCTGCCATCTCGGATTCCTGGTCAGCCGGGTGGGGCTCCATTCCTTGGCCGCAGAACTGACAACTCGGCGGGTGGGGTCGAGGTCCCAGCCGGACGCGGAGGTGTGCAGGCCTTGGGCTGGGCCGCTTCCGGGCGGCGGGGTTGGAGGTCGCGCGGGCCGCGCCTGGCAGAGGGGTACTTCCGGCCACGGAACCGCACTCACCTCAGGGGCCACCCTTACTAGTGGAGATGCCTGGGCATCATAAGGTCCTTGTGAGGTAGGCGGTGCCGCCATTATTATTGAGAGTAGGGAAATTTACTCTCCTGCTCAGTAAGCGACAAGTCCTGGTGTTCAAGTAGTCTGGCACTTCTTTTTACACCAGTGGTTTTCAGAACCTTCAGAATCGGTTGAACCCTTGTGCTAACAGAAATGTTTGCAAAACTCCAGTATGTAAAGTGAGTAAAGCCCAGAGTCTCAGAGCTTGTCCCCTTTCCTATCTCCCTTTCCTAAATTTTCAAAGGTGAGAAGCTCTCAGTACTACTCATAAAGTGAATTTGTGAAGGTGGTTGCACAGAACTCAATATGAATAACACCATCTCAGTGAAGTATCAGTAGTGCTAGAGACCTGGAAGAGCAGTATTCAGGCTGAATCTGTGAGAGAGTGAGTTTGACCAGTCACAATTGTCTTATATTTGGGGGGAAGAGAGGAAGAATGACAAAAATCTATAATGTACTCCCCGCCCCTGAAATTATGCTTAATAAAAGCAAAGGCTATATTGCACTTTGAGAATTTAGGGGCGAGGGTATGACACATTTGAAAATGGACAGAATGCTGATTTTCAGTACAGCAGTTGCAATTCTTTTTACCCTCTGTATCCACTCACATTTCTGAAAGTCTGTGGACATTCATGATTACGGACTGTGGGAGTTGGTCTGCCTAGTAAAGTAGAACCAGTTAAGTAGGGTCTATTAGAGTGTCAACCAACCATTCTATGGAGTTCTACCCAGAGCTTGTGATTTATACAGTGGAGAAATCATGATATCAATCCAATGAGGGCATATGGTCAGATATCATTTTAGTTCATTGTCCAGTTGTTCATTTCCACGGAATATCTTTGTGCAAGTCTTACTGATTTTGCTGGATATTCTGGTAATTTTTGCCAGCAGGGTCTTGTGAAATATAGTATGATCCTCTGAAAGTTTGAGCAATTTGCCATGTCTGTGTGGCTATATCCAAACAACATTAGCCCTCCTTTGGGTTTAAATTCAGTAACCCTTTTACACAACTCAAGTGTTTATTATTATCTTGCCCTGAAGTGTGTGCTTCCTTACATTAAACAATGAAAATTGTTATTGTTGGAAACATGCACCTGATATGGGATTCATTTACATATGTAAAGAGCTGAAAAGGGATCAAGGGCTCCCTAAAAATCATTTTGTTCCTGAGGATAGATTTTTTTTTTTCCTCTATTGTCTATAAAAACACTAGTGGTTTCCGGAATACTTCCAGACTCAACTTGAACTCTTCTTTCAAAACTGAAAATGAAGGGTAAAGAAATCCCTGAATTAAGCTAGATAACATGAAATATATGCTGTTCAGAGTTAAGATTCCAAATCACCAGGTCTGAACTTTTACTTGATTTTTCTTCTGTGGATTATTTCCAACCACCAGTCTACCTTCCTCACTCTTCAGTTCAAAATATGAAATCTTTTGTTAAGCTTTGATTCCTTTGACATTGTAATGGCTTTCCCTCATAGGGATACTGAGTGGACCTCTTTCAGAGTCTTGGTTTTCAGATCCTAAATCAAGACATGGCTTCTGGAAGTGGGGCTCCTAGTTGACAATGTTCTGACCTGAGTAAACCTAGATAAATAAGTAGCAAACAAAATGGAACAATCCATTTTGTTGGGCTTATGCCTAACCACATACAAAACAATGCTTTTAATTTTGAAATCATAGATATTTTAAATGAAATTTCATTTAATTTGTAGGGATTCTATCAATTGATTGATCAATCAATCCCTATAAATTATCAAAGGAATAAAAACTTCACAAAGCTTTAGCAGCCCTCCTACTTGTACTTTTTTTTTTTTTTTTTTACTTGACACAATACTTTTATTTATTTAGATGGTGCTGAGGACTGAACCCACTGCCTCACACATGCTAGGCAAGTGCTCCACCACTGAGCTACAACCCCAGCCCCCAAAGCTATCCTTTAAAAAAAAAAACAACTTTATTTTATTTCTTTACTTTTATATGGTGATGAGGATCAAACCCAGGACCTCACATGTGCTGGGTAAGTGCTCTACCATTGAGCTACAACTCTAGCACCCCAAAAATATCCTTTTAAGATGTAAAATACCAAACTATCACCCAAGTTTTATAATTTAAAAACTCTAGATCAGATAATGAAATAATCTAGATTACTAGTGTATAGTATCAGACAATGAAATGATCTATAGGAAAGCTTACAAAATTGCTCATCTGAAACTGAAAGTTTTTTTTAAGGCTATTTAGGCACTAAACAGCCAGAAAACTTGATTCAGGAACTTATAAAGAAAGAGCTCAAGAATTATTTATAATCCTACAGTGGTTTGCTATCCTTTGTTTCTAGGGAAGACATCATTCATTGGCCTATCTTAAGTACTACAGAATGAACTTTGATTTTCCTCACTAGTAAGGGTGATAGATTTCTACCAGTTCTTTTTAAAATAAAAATAAATGCTATAAAATGATGTTCTTCATATTTAGAAACTTATATTTATTTGTTTTATAAATAAATTCTTAAAAGTTTAATATAAAAATAAAGCTATAGTTTCTTCCAGGTCTGGGTGGTTTGGAAATGGAGGAACCGAGATTATAGTAGCTGATATGGAAGACTGAAAATGATTAGGAACTTTTACCACAGTCACCAGTTCTAACCATTTGATTTTTTTCACTGTAAATGATCAATGTGGAACTTTCTGATTATATTGACTTGTAAAATAATCTCTATTGGTGATTCAGATTGCTTCTAAAGAACTGACAGCTCACTTTGCAGTCTGGTTATTCATAATGCTAGATTTAACTATAGTGAATTCTCAAGGATTTTATTTCTGTTATTACAAAAATACTAGTATGAACATGTTTTTCATTTTAGCTGAACACCAGGGAAAATATTTAAATATTTAATTGAGCTAGAAAATAAGGTGTATAGTTAAAATTCTAATCCAGATTGTTTCAAGAGTGAGAGGAAAAAATTGGTAGTTGGGCTTTTCTTGTGGAAAGTCAGAATATTATATTTGATTTCAATTTGTAAGTTATTTTCACTAGTATTTCCCATCATAGGCCAGCTCCACTGATAATGTATATAGTGAGTTACCTCCCCATAGATAATCTCCATCACAAACAGGAATGTTGGCTGCAGTTTACAGTTTATTATTTTTCATATTTCAGTGGTTAAGCAGATATTCATGTAGGACCAGGCTGTTTCCTTTTAGCAGCCCTCCTACTTGGACTAATTAGCTTTTTAAAAATGGTTAGGGATACTATGGGATTTTCCTCTCTGAAGTGCAGCTATTACTATCAATATATTAAATTGACATTAGAAAGGCTGGGGCTGTAGCTCAGTGGCAGAGTGCTTGCTTAGCAAGTGCAAGGCCCTAGGTTCAATCCCCAGTACCAGAAAAAAAAATGTGCTATGTAGGCTTAAATTGATATTAGAGTTTATTACTTCTTCTCTTTGGTGGTATATACAATATAATTGTGGCAGGGGTTCCAGGGGAAATCAGATTAGGATTTGGAGACTGCTTGCCTCTAAAGAATGTATCCCCTCATTCTGTACCAGTTTTTATGAATCTATCTGTCTGTCTGTCTATCTAAAGGAAGAAGAGGCTTTCAAGGTAGATTTTTTTTTTCCAGAGAAGAGATTTTCGAGAAGAGGAATGATAGGGGAATGGATGGAGACCAGGAAAAGAAAAATAATCACAGGATTATTTAATCTAGGAACTTGCACAGATTAAAAAAAATGAGGATTTTTTTTTACTGGAAATATAAAGACTATATATAAAGCATGTATGGAGTAGTGAGAACTTCCTAAATACTACTTTGTCCCAATAAATGGACTTTTTCTCCAGTGCTTGCAGAAATGCTTATGGTTTCAGGAATTCTCTCAAACTGAACCAGAAGTTACCATCTTAATAATGAGGAGATAGGGCAAAGTAGCCCAGGAACTTTGGCTCTTGAGTATGGGCAGACATTAGGGGGAAATTCACAATAAAAGGGAATCATATTCTTTTTTTCCCATTTAGGTGGGGAAATAGGAGGAACAGATCCTCCCTTTCCAGACGTTTTGACCATCATTTTCTTTCACATTAGAAATGGACAGCATTCTGGAAAATAAGTCCTTGGGGCAACAGTGAGGAGTCATCTAAGAGAGGAAAGAGAACAAAACTGACATCTCAGTCAGAAAAGGCTTGGTTAGTTAAATGATGGTGGATATAAAGTTGTCTGTCCCTTAGCCAAGGAAACAAGGGCATGACATGTTTCTTTAGTCATGATCAAGAAGGATGTCTTAAAAGGCATCCTTAAAAAGCAGGGGATGGTGAAATGATAAGATTGCCACTTGCTTTTCATTATTTCCTTACTCCCAACCAATATTCTTCCTGAATTACATGCAACTCCAAAAAGGATATACTATGTTGCTAAGATGTCTGCAGGGGACCCAGTTTTCTTGAAGGAGTGAGTGGTATGTTTCTGTATGTATGACTCTGAGGCAGCAGGAAAATTCATCTGGACGACGTACGGATTTTGAGTACCAAGAAATATAGTTCTTGAACTGGGAGGCAGGGTTATCCTAGGGTAGAATTAGGAGTGGCAGCTGGAGCACTTTCCCTCAGCTGGCTGGGCACTCAGTGGTCAATGGAGAGGACAGAGCAGAAGCATATGGAAGGGTTAGTCCTGAGCATAGAGTACTCTACCAAGTAACTGGGGGAGATTCAGAGTGGGGTGTATGTGCATGTGTGCTGAAGTCCTGAAGCTTAGCATTG